GGCACGTACATGTAAATTGGTAGATGCAGTTGGAGCTACTAAGAAAAGAGGGCTTGTCAATTTTGGTTTGTTGAAGTGAGCAGTTCGTTTGCCATACTGTCATGAGTTTTGCTGCTGGGTAGGTGACTTTCAACGCAGAGTTTATTTTGTGATTGATTATTCCAGCGATTTCATCACCTTTGAAACGTAAATGTAAGAAGTAGGTTTTTCTTTCTACTCCATCGTATTTTGTATGAGGATTGCTTTTGGCATATTTCTGGATAAATTTCAATGGGTGTTCATTATCGCGTAGAACATTAGTAATCAAATTGATTTCATCATCAAGGTATTCTTTTGAACAGACTTTTTGAGCGCGGTCAAAAAGGGTTCGTACAATACCCTTTTTGTAACTGATTGGGCAGAAACTGTGGTAATTGAGATAAAGACCACTCCAGGTATTTTTATGGTGAATATGTCTATGTAATTTACCATCAGATGTTCGTCGGATCCCAACATCGATCAAACTGGAATGTGGTTAAGAGTAGTCTAAGTGACTTGACATTTTCATTTCTATCGATCAGCATTATGAAGGACATGAAATGCGAGATATTCTTCACTACTCAGTGATCAACTAATTGTGAAATGGTTGTCATTTGGTTTACGTTCAATACTGATGTAATCAACAAGATCTTCTATCGAAACTAACTAGATGCATTTGACCTCGGAGTTAATCCTATCCATATCATATCTTTAGAGTAATCACATGTTATCTTGAATAATGAATTGGTAACCGAATGTCGGAAGATTTCACTTGTTAAAGATATTTTATTGCGAATCGATTATCAAGGCATTCCATGTGATGGATGTGAAGTGAATAGATGAATTAAACTCATTGTAATCAACAGTGTTGTGATACTTGAATTATTTGTGAAAGTCAATGTAAAAGGATGAAAGAGAATTACTAAGTCAGTCAGTCAGTCAGTCAGTCAGTCAGCTACAACGTAGGACCAGGCACATATGTGCATCGGTCCAGGTTGCCATACCGCATCAGCACAACAAGATGAACACCGGATTCATAGCAGTGGTTATGTCAAAGGTGGTAATATATAAGAGAAAGATTGCATATAGAGATATAATACAAGAAGAAAGAAATATATGAAGTGATTTTAATCTCTTAGTTTAAGGGAAGACAAAGAGTGTATACACCGACGCCATTGTGATCGATTCTGAGTCATGTCACCAAGAGTCTCCAACCATTGGTTACGATAGTCACGCGGACCCCAACCAAGTAGTCTGCATCTACCAACGTGGCTCAGACTAGAAGTTAGTGACTTCAAGCACTGATGCCACGTTTTGGTTTGGCCGCCCCTAACTTTCTTCCAACCATCTCCAATACCGGATAGCATTGCACGTCGTGGTATTCGGTGTTCAGGCATACGTAACACGTGGCCCAACCATCTCAGTCGATGAAGATTCATAACCTCATCAACTGATTTACCATCATTCCCTAATACCCTGCGTCTAACCTCACTATTACTTACCCGGTGATCCCAGCAGACGCGAGCAATATTTCTAAGGCATTTGTGGTCAAATACTAGTAGCTTACGGGTGTCTTCTACTCTTAATGGCCATGTTTCGCTGCCGTAAATTAAAACAGAACGGACTGCCGCACAGTATACCCGTCCTTTTATTGATAGACGGATATCTCGCCTCCGCCAAAGGTGACGTAAGTTGGCAAAAGCCAAACGAGCTTTTCGAATCCGTGCTGAGATTTCGTCCGATACCAACCCATTAGGGCTGATCAGATTTCCAAGATAAGTGAAGTTGTCAACGCTTTCGACCACTTCACTCTCTATCCTTAGTTGAGGTGATGACGCAGGCCAGTCCTGGAGAAGCAACTTATATTTAGAGGGAGAGAAACGCATCCCAAACATTCTGGCATTGTAGCTTAGCGCTACCGCAAGACTCTACACTTTATCAGCGTTCTCAGCAAACAGGACTATATCACCTGCGTATTGTAAGACGATACATGGACCTCCTGGTACGACATCGATACCCGAGAACTCAGTCGACGAGAAAGTTATTTCCATCAGTAGATCTATGATGAAGTTAAACAAAAATGGGGAAAGTGGACAGCCTTGACGGACACCACATGAGGTTGCAAAAGTAGATGACAGTTCGCCATAAGCTCTGACTCGACTAGTAGTGTTCGAGTAAAGAGCCTTTACAAGGTTTATGTACTTCTGAGGTACGCCTTTCAATGACAGACACTGCCACAGAACCTCGCGATCTACAGAGTCAAATGCTGCTTTTAAGTCAAGAAAGACCAACATTGTCGGACGCCGATAAGTATGCCTGTGTTCTAGAATCTGACGAATGGTGAATATGTGGTCGATGCAGCCACGATCAGGTCTAAAGCCAGCTTGGTTCTCTCGTGTTTGCAGTTCACGAGTCTTAGTTAGGCGTCTGATAATTATCGAGGCTAGTATTTTAGATATATTAGTTAAGCTAATCCCTCTATGGTTGTCACAGGATTATTCTAACCCTCTTTTATATATTGGGACGATAAGTGATTGTGACCAGTTAGATGGAATAACGTCTAACTCCCAGAATTTAGCTAAAATATTAGTCAATCTAATCGCTAAAATTGGACCACCATCCTTAAAGACCTATGGAGCCAATCCATCTGGACCAGCTGCCCTTCCTCGTTTCAGATTAACTATAGCCTTTTGGACTTCTGCTAGAGTTGAGGGACCTACTTCAATGTTCCATTCACACTGTCTGGGAATGGAGGGTAGTTGTAGAGTCGCTGAAGGCCAGCTGAACTGTTCCCTAAAATGTTCCGCCCATCGTTCTAAACGTCTGGACTGGGAGTAGATGAGAGTATCGTCTTTTTTTGAAATAATCTCACTTACACTTGACTTATTAGTTCCAGTTTCTCTTATTAGTCTGTAAAGCTATCTTGTGTTCCCTATAGCCGCCTTTTCCATCTCTCTTGCTTTCGTTGCCCACCACTGCTTACGGTCGTTCTTTAGACTTTTTCTTAACCTAGATCTGATTTGTTGTCGCTCTTCATCATGTTCGGAACCTGATGGGACGATTTTGCGAGAATCCATCAGTGTGATAGACTTTGAAGAAACCCACTGGTTCTTTGTAACTCTGTGGTTTAAGTCGCTAATAGATGTCACTGCTGCTTCCACAGCTGCTTGTATTTCATTCCAAGCAACATCTGGGTCAGCCTCGTCTTCAGAACTACCTAATCGTGACCTCAGTTGTTCATGGAACCTACTTTTGGTTTTCTCGTTACTCAGTTCGGTTCTAATGGGTCTTTTTACTGTGGCTTTTTTGCGTCCAGTGAGGCGCAAGCAGATGCGTGCCCGTATTAGGGCATGGTCGGAGTCCAAGCAGGTACTCCAGAATGAGCGACAATCTTCTACCGACCCTCTCCAACGATGACTGATGGCAATATGGTCTATTTGAGTCCATCGTTGGTTTGGTGTAGGGGGTCGCCATGTTAGACGATGTCTCTCCTTATGCTTAAAATGTGTTTGCTAAAAATAAACGATTGTCTGAGCACAGTTGCAGCAGACGATCACCATTATCTGTTCGCTGTGCCGGAATGCTAAAATATCCACCTAAATGCCTTTCTGTTTGATTTAAACTACCTATCTGAGCATTAAAGTCACCCCCTACGAGTACTATGTCTGAGCGTTTAGCTTTCTGAAGAAGTTCGGACAGCTTTCTATAAAATTCATCTTTCACATCATCTGAGCTAACACGTCACAAACCTCTCACGAAAAGGCCGTGCGCAACCGGCCTCAAGCAGTTGTCCCTTGGGCACTGCGGTCACGCTCTCAGGTCACTGAGACCGCCTCTAATCCAATTTCTTTTTCAGGTACCTTCAGAAAAACCCTTCAACGGTGTAGGCAACCGGGAAGTCATAACCACCCTCATACCTCTAACAGCACTCAAGACCACTGTATTCATAATCAACCTTCCTATTCAATTCCTATTATTCCTCCTACATCGACTTTCAACCCTAAACTTCCTCCTTCGGCTTCCTCCTCAAGTGTCACCATAGCCGAAGACATGTTCTGGTTCAGTTTGAAACCGAATGCATTTGATATGTTGGAACCGAAATTCAAATATTCGTGTACGGATTAGACAATCATTATAATACTACGTCCTATACGAATAAAGTTCAGTTTGAAATGACTACCTTATATAATGTATTTTAAACAGATTTCAATGAATTGTCTACGTGTAATCATCCGTATGTATCATCTGAGACAATTGAGGATGAAATCATTAGAATTTATACGTAGACAAGTGCATCGAAAACGCGATCATTCTATCATTTTCTTGTTTCGACTACCATGTTCATCCTGTAACATGATTGATAATCCACGTGTGAATAGATAAAGTGTACGATGCAATTTGACTGGATTGATTGGCATGAATAAAAAGAAATGTTTGTGGTGTCTTTTGTTTTCAAATACATTTACCCACCTGTTCTTACAATGCATGGTCTGTTGAAATGAATTATAAGAGTTTGCAAATGTGATTTAGAAGAATACAAATGGTTTCCAACAGATTTCATCTTCCAGTGATGAGGGAGATGAAAGTAGTGAATTTCGTAAACTAGGACTCAATATGATGACGAGAGTGAACCTAATGTAGCTAACACCCATTGATTGTGAAAAATGATTTGAGAGAAAAGAATGAATGATTGGTAAGAACAAAATCATATTGATTGTTGATGTGAACAGATGATGGATGGAATTCATTGTCAGTTTATGTCACTAATTCATGGTTGATATAGTTAGATTTCATGTGATTCGCGAAGGAAGAGTAATGGGAAACTGAGTATAAATTTCGAACAATGAATATTCATTAACGTGTAGACGTGTAAATTTCCGACATTTAATTGATTCATTTTCGACGTCGCGGTGTGGTACTGTTTGCACTAATTTTAATGTGATCCTGAGTGTCAGTATCAGATCTTTGATTAAAAGTTTCACTTACAGAGCGACTTCCACCCTCACTAGATTTCCTATCTTTTCGAGAATCTTGCGACTTATGTCCACCTGACATAAACGCATGTTGTTCTTCTTGGATGTACCCACCGAGTTTACTACGCTTCCGACCCTCCGAAATGTATCCATTCACATCGAACACATCACGTATTTTCTTTCTATCAAAACTGTCTGCCTCACCATAACTTTCGAATGTGGTAGTTCGTTTCTTTTGACTATTGTGATCGTAGCCAGAACGTTTTCTGAATATGGTTTTCACATGTGATTTACTGCCTCGTCTACGTTTTCCGATGAATGTCTGGTAACCGCTAGTATAAATATCACTTCTTCTTTGATTTGCGTATTTCAGTTGGAATTTTCGTTGTGAAGATTGGAATCCGACATCGCCACTTGAACTTGAATGTGAATCTTTGCTGTTTTCCTGAGAATGTCTATTTGTATTATCTCTCGTTTCCGTTCTACTGAATTCAGAATCTTTTCCTCCTGAACTTGATGCTCCTACTTCTATTGACGTATTAGTTCTTTCTTGGCCATTTTCCATTTGACTGTTAACATTTAGACATAGCAGTGAGTAAAGAATAATTGCGAATAACAAACATATGAAATCTGTTCGCATTATAATTAGTTTATAGTGAAAATCATCGAGTTATGAGAATAAATGTATCCTTTATTTCTATATGTCGTACATTGATATTTACTTATTCGTTTATTTATTGTAATTCAGTTGTTCGTAAAAACTGATTATAAATTCGTATTTAATGACCATGTGATGGAATGTGAGCAGTGCATTTTGGTGAATCGATATATAGAGTATTTTAATAACATAACGTTTATTTAATGTTTTTTCTGAGGTGAACTGATTTATCTCGTTCTGTCATTCATAAGTGGATTTCTTTGAGTTTGTATTTTGTTTTATTTCATTGACTTATCGTTTATGTGTATATAGATATATTTCCCTGTTGTTACTGTAAGGGATTCTACATTTGTATTCTTTATTTAAGACTGTTATTCAATAAATGATTGGCTGATTGGACTGTAAATATATTGTTTGTTTATTTTATGTTTTATTAAATTACATGAAACAAATATAATGTTAGAGAAGAAGATAGTCTTGTTATGCATAAATGAATTGTGGATATATGGTTGATTAATGACTATTATATACATCGAAACCAAGGTCAGATCATGATGACAATATTGTTGGGATACTTAATACTTTTTGTAAATCTGTTTATGTTTTTCACTAGGTATATAACGAAATGAAGTTTTGTTAAGTTCATAGTATGTTTGGTATCAATTGGGCATTCTTTATTGAAGAAATTTATTTGGTTAGATATTTCGTTGTCATAGATGTTTTATATACTCGTTTAGTGATAGCGCGTCAATAATCTGTTTTAATTCGTCGCATGTTATAGACTGGGCTTATATTTATCAATTTTATTTTACATTTATTCAAGAGTCATTGAGGTTATCTATTCAACAATCTATGTGCACGGAATTAGTGATATCTCAATGACTGTATTTATCGTTTATTTGTATTTCTAAACAGTACAGAAATATTTGAATGGAGTAAAGAGATTGTGACTAGCAATGAAATTCAGGACAAGTATTTCAGTCTATTTGGGACTCTTCGGTTGGATTCACTAGGATCCCAGTTTTAATGTTCGCTTTAGAGTACAAACTAAGTATCTTTATCGACAAACAGTTAACATATTATCTAGAAAACTATTTATTCGATATAGTCTCTAACTTGCCCAGTGCTTAGGATAATTTTATCATTATTAGTAAAGACTTGGATTATTCCGTTGTTGATTTCTAGGACTGAATTTCGGTTATTCATTGATATAATTGGTATAAGCTGACGTATAATGGTATAAAAATCATACTCGTTGAACAATATGATGGACTCGTGGAATCGGTGACTCATTAGACTATGAGTTGAATGTTTGAAGCCATAGGTTACGGTTTCACAGCCAGGATTCTGATATATTCAACTGACGAGTCCTAAATAGAAAGATACGCATGATCTGGATTCCAAGGTTAGCTGCAAATCATCTATTTTAAATAACTTACAACAACGTGGCCATATGGAAGCAACCCGCCCACGATTCACAAATAAAAACAGTGATTGACCAATATCCAGTCCTAGATATTAAAAATAGGATAATTCGGATTCCTACCAATAGCAATATAATCGTGAAAACAGATAATATCTACTTCGATGTTTTGCTTGTACTCACAAATTCTGAATACTATTCTACGCATTTGAAGAATTTCTGTTTATTTCAGACGCCTAATACAAATCACCACGTATATTTATACCCATCCATATATAAACAATTAATCAAGCTTTTTTTAAGTCTAAACTCTGAAGGAATTTTAAACCATCCTAATGTTATGTTATTTCTTTACACGGATTGGATTAGTAATAATCACTCATTGTTTTAATTTGGCAAACGCAGATGATAGTAGGAATTGATAATTGTTTGGTTTTAGTAAATAACATTTTAAATAAAACTTGTTAGTGTGTATGATACTGCACAGTTGAAGAAGGTCACTATTACGACCGTATAAAGAAAATAATTAATGAACTTCCAACAAATATTAATTTCTATAGTTGAGATCATGAGTCAATTGAAGCTAGACCAACATGAAAAACCTGGAAGCACTGAACTGCCGTTTCGTTTTATTGTGAGACTCCTCAGCACTGCGCATCCATGACTTCACTTCGCGGGATTCGAACCCGGGACCTTCTGGTCCTGAGTTCTTGATAGAAAGGAACGTTTTATTCAGAAAAAGACTAACGAAGACTGTTATCCTTTTTATAAATAGACGTCCATTGAATAAAAAAGAAGTATATCCACGATATCATCATAACAAGACAAATATCAGATATAATTCCAAATCTCTATATCTAGTTTATTGAAAATGAACATCCGTCAATTAGTCAGTCAGTAACAACATAGAAATTCGTACATATGAACATCAGTTCGAGTTGCCATACCACATTGGCACAGAAATGTAGTTTTTGATTCAAATCCCTAGTACCCGTTTCCTAATAAGTGCATGACTTACTCGGTGACCTCAGGATATACGAACAATACCTTGAAGACACCTATGATCAAATACTAGTACCCTACGAACATCCCCTACTTTTACCGACCATGTTTCACTGCCATAAAGTAGGACGAACGAACTGCCGGACAGTAAACCCGTCCTTTAGTTGGTAGACGGATATCTTGCATACGCCATAAATGATGCAAGGTGGCAAAAGCCAGTCCAGCCTTCTGTATCCGCGTTGAGATTTCGCCACACACCAGACAACAAGGGCTGATGAGACTTCCCAGATAAGTAAAGCGGTCGAAACGCCCAACTATTTTACTTCCTATAATTAGTTCAGGTGCCGATGCAGCCCAATCCTGAAGCAACATTTTGCATTTTGAGGGGGAGAATCGCATTCCGAACATGGTGATTTGAAATATGGTTTGTGATGTGTTCTACTGATGTCGACAGAAATAAGTAGTATGCATCAAACATTCGAAAATGGAATACCTGGTTGCAGAAGGTTAAGAAAATCAAAGAAATGAGAACGGGAACAGAGAATGTTTGGCGTGGAACGAAAGAAGTTCGATACGATTGATTGATACTTTGCAAATGAAGTATTTACTGTGTGGTTCTTAGATTTTACTAAGATGCTCTGTAATTTTGTATCCAAATACATCTGATTGTCCATATTTGAGTTCTCGTTCACTATAGTTTACTACCGAATTAGCTATTTTAAGATATACTTCACTGGGGATTTACCATAGGTTAATTTCGAAAATGTGTAAGAACAGCGATTTCAGAGAGTGTGGGAACTGCGGAGGCATCACTCTTCTCTCAATACAAGGAAACGTCTACAACAGAGTGTTTTTACACAGAATAAAGGACTCCGTAGACGCCCAACTTTGAGACCAACAAGCTGGATTCTGTAAGAATCGATCATGTGCCGACGAAATCGTAACACTACGGATCATTGTGGAACAATCAGTTAAGTGGAATTTACCACTCTGCATCAATGTCATTCACTAAGAGAAAGAATTTGACACAGTGGAAAGAACAACACTATGGAGGCTTCTTCGACACTACGCAGTGCCCGACAAGATATTCAATATCATACAGAATTCCTATGATGGATTGAACTGCTAAATCGTGCATGGAGGATAGTTGACAAACTCGTTCGAAGTGAAGACCGGTGTCAGGCAAGGTTGCTTACTCTCACCCTTTGTATTTCTCCTGGTGATCGATTGGATCATGAAGACGTCGACATCTGGGGGGAAGCATGTGATACAGTGGACAACTAGGATTCAGCTGGACGATCTAGACTTTGCAGATGATCTGGTTATTCTATCGTACATAGAACAACAAATGCAGGAGAAGACGAACAGTGTAGCGGCAGCCTCAGTAGCAATAGGTATCAACATACACAAAGGGAAAAGCAAGATTCTCCAATAGAACACAGCATACATCAATCCAATCACAACTGATGGAGAAAAATCTGGAAGATGTAAAACCCTTTACATATTTGGGCAGAATCATTGACGAACACGGTGGATCTGGTACGGATGTGAAGGCGCAGATCGGAAAAGCAAGAGCAGAATATCTACAACTGAAGAACATCTTCAACTCAAAACAACTTTCAACAAACACTAGTCAGAATTTTCAATACAAATGTCAAAACAGATCTACTGTATGGGGCGGAAAATTGGAGAACTATGAAAGTAATCATCCAGAAGATACGAGTGTTTGATAACACTTGTCTACGCAAAATATTTCAGATCTGTTAGCCAGACATTATCAACAACAACCTACTATGTGAGAGAACAAACCAGAATCCAGTGGAGAAAGGAATCAGGAAGAAGCGCTAGAAACAAATAGGATACACATTGAGGAGAGCATCCGACTGCGTCACAAGGCAAGCCCCCAGTTGGAATCCTCAAGGTCAAGGGATGAGAGGAAGACCAAAGAACACATTACGCTGAGAAATTGAGATAGACCTGAGAAGAATGAACAACAATTGGATAAAACTAGAAAGGAAGGATCAGGACAGAGTGAGTTGGAGAATGCTGATTGGCGACCCATGCTTCATTGGGAGTAACAGGTACAAGTAAGTAAGTAAGTAAGGAAGTTGCTTAACCGTACTGGTAGGAGCTCACAAACCCGAAATTTCTGTCATAAAGAAAGAATTTTTCCATTTTAGAACAGTAAATGATAATCATTTTTTAGATTTTATTTTTGTTATTATAATGAAAAAAAACTATTATTTTAAATCATTGAAATAAATATTCTCATTACTTTATCACATTAACATTGTTTATTTACTTAACTCTATATTCTTCTTCTCATTTGATTCATCCTCACATATATCAACATTCAATGAATTAATCCATTCATTTAAGATATCATTTGAGTCAATTAGACGTCGAATACTATCACGTGTTAAATGAATATTACACATTGGACAAATTGGTGTTGGATAGATTTCAACATATCTACAAGCAACCAAGAAAAAGTATTTGTATAGTATAAATGAAGCTTATAATGTTTTCAATAGTGACAATTTAATTAGTATAAAAC